AGATGAGCAATTGTGGGTCGATGCTGGCTGGGTATTTTTCCTCTGAACTCCTCCTATCTCCACCCCTCCCCTCCCCTCCCACCCCCGGGGGAAATCAAGAAAAACAAGATCCTACTTGTTCAGGCCCTCAGAGGCACCGCGGAATTGCTGGGATCGTCGCAATAAGTGGTAGTAATAGAAGCACATACAGGACCGTAAATACAAACTGCTCGTGGAGTGGCAAAAAATAATGAAGTAATTAGGTTAACTATTATCGGCACCTGTGACTGATTGGTGCCAGCACGTTTCTGGCTTTATTATATGATTGTTCGTAGGCACAATAAGCAGATCGTGAAGTTGGGAACCCCTGGTCCCACACCCAGCTGCCCTCCCCTGAGCGCCCCTGTCACCCCCAGAATAGGGAGGCTGCTGCTCAGCCTGGGCCAACCCACTGTGGGCAAATGAGAGTCCTGCTTCCTAACCCATTAGGGTTAATGCCACTTTAATTAGCAATTGATGTGCCACCTAAGAGGTGCCATTTGACGCACCATTTCTAGGCTAAGCGTGTGTCCCATTTACAGACCCGAAAGGTGAGCCCGCAACGAATGCGAGACAGTCGGGATGCAGACTTTCCAAACAGCACGGTGCCGATTCCAATGGAAACGGCCGTTGAGGTGCTCAGCCCGTGACCTTGCACCTGGCAGGACGCCCTTCCTCCTGGCTGGCATCGCCGCATGGCGCACCCACGTGCCAGTAATAATAATAATTTGATGACAATAATAACAGTTAACATTTCTAGTATTACTCTGCATCGGGTCCTGTTTTGAGTACCTTATATATACTTACTCATTTACTCCCTACACAACCCTGTGAGATAGATACTGTCATCGTTCCGTCCCCATTTTACAGGTGGGAAAACTGAGGCGTAGGGCCGGGCAGTGACTCATCCCAGGCCCCAGAGTTAGGATTCCAAGCCAGGTGGTTTTGGGGCAAAGGGCACATTCTTTATCTTCTGGTCTCAGCCTCTGCTCAGGGGGTGCCTTACAGGACTGTGGACCAAGGGGGACCCAGTGTGCCTGTCACAGGCCGGGCACAAAGGAGAGGCGAGGGAGTGAAAAAAGGGTCGTGCTAAAAGCCAAGGCGTGGAAGCAGTTTCTCACAGGCTTGCCGATGGACGTGGGAGAACTCAGCGCCTCTCGTTAGCAGGAGAAGGTAGGCCTCCAGGTACAAGGTCATGCAACCGGGGCCCGAACCTGGGCTCTCGTCACCACCTAGAGAAACATGTGACAGCAGCAGGCAAATCCATTTGCTGAGAGCCACGGATGCACCCAGCTCCTCCTGGGCTTCCTGCTGCCCAGAACCTCTTGGGTTTGCAGAACTGGACTGGCTGGTTACCAAGAGAGTGTGTTGAATTGCTGGCCCCTCAGAACCTGCATCCGCCCTGTGATGATCTAGAAAAGGAAGCATTGGGTCTGGATAATGGCTGTGGTCCTGCCAGCTCAACAATGTGGAGCTTCTGGGCCTAGGACATGAAAACACGGGTGAAGGACCCGCCTCTGTGGACAGGGAGGGCCACCAACTTCCTTTGAAGAAGACAGGGAGCCTCAGAGGACAGTGCCTGCTGGGCTCATTGTGGACTGACCAGCAGCCTCAGTTTACCGGGACTGTGCCAGCTTTATAGCCTAAAGCCCCACGGCTCTGGAATCCCCTTAGTCCTGGGCAAGTGGGGACAGGTGGCCACCCTACCTGTTGAGGACAAAAGTGTGTGTGTGTGTGTGTGTTGGGGAGAGCCCTAGCTAGCCGAGTGCCTGGCGTCCGGTAGGTGCCCACTAACTATTTGTTGAGCGAGTGGCATGTAAACCAACCATCGAACCTTCTGAGCTGGAGGGAAAAGCGCGGGCGGTGATCTGGGGTGGCAGGTACATTTCATGGGAATCCAGTGTGAAAAACAAGCCTTTGATGGTGCGGGTAGATCAGAAAATGAACGTTATTGCGGAGGGAAGGCTGTGGAATGAGACGAGGGAACCCACCCCAGCTGCAGAGCAGCTCCTGTTGCCTTGTGTCCCTGATAACAAACAGCACGTCTTCCGTCTGCAATCTCCGCGGTGTCGTCTCTGCTCAGAAAGAGCGTCTGTGCCCAGGCAGGGCCCCATAGAGGCGGGATGGGCCGGGGAGGGTGAGCGGCCCGGGCCCGGGCCCCGCGCTGCGGAGGCTCCCGGCACCCAGGACGCGGGGATGGAACAGCCCGCCGCGCAGAGAGG